AAGTGGTAGAGCTCAGTCCCTGAGTTCAAGCCCCACAACTGACCAATACAATAAAGGTATTTCAACTATATTCACCCTATCCATTCACCCTCCCTCCTCCTGCTGACCGCCCCCCCCCAATTCATTCTATTGTTCTGGGTGTTTTGTTTATTTGTTTTTTTAGACAAGGTCTCACAACATAACCCAGGCTGACCTCAAACTCTCAATTCCTCTACCTCAGCTTCCTGAATGCTGGGATTACAGGCATGCACCACCATGCTCAGCTAAGGGCACACCAATTTTACAGCAGATACAGGGCCATCTGGCTTAGCTAATGCTGAGCTTATATGGCTTTGTTCTTAATTGGTAAAAATAGTCTTCCACCCCTTCTTCTCAGTGCCTTTAGTGGGTTTTTTTTGTTCATTAGTTTTCAATGCTGGAGTGTGGAAACCATGGTCTCCTATTTGCTAGGCAGCGTTGTACCACTGAGCTACTTTCTCAGCCTGACCGTAAGACAGTGTATTTGTGGGTGGTACTGGGGAATCAAGCCCAAGGTCTCCCAGGCTTAAGCACCCCCTTTTACCACAGTTATACCCCAAGCCCAGAAACAGCAACAACAACAACAAAAAAAAAATTCTGTACTATCTGAAGAATGCCAATTTTTTTCTGGGTCAGTGATAATCAACCTGTTTAGTGAGAAGGGCAATTCAGAAAAAAAGTAACCTGTTACCAAATGTTTTTCAAAGAAACTATCTCTTTTATCAGGAAATGTAATAGCCACAACTTTGCTTAAGCCTGTTTTCCTTGTTTTCCCAAATGCTCAAGTGTTTCGTTATTTTGGCTGAACTTTCAGCAACCACAGAACACGCATGCCCCGAAGGATATATCTGAGTATCAGATGTAATGCTGCCCATGTCACCAACATTTATGGCCAAAGGAGACATTTGGGAAGCTGAATTCTTCCCTTTTGCCTTCGCTGACCCTGGAATCCATTTAATTGTGAAATATGCTTGGTCTCTTTGCATTTAGGTACAACAGCTCTACTTCACAGTTTACCAAGCACTTGTTATTCTTAGCCAGGTGCCAGTGTTCACACTTGGAATTCTGGGGACTCAGGAGGCTGCAACCTGGAAGATCACCGTTCAAAGCCAGCCTCAGACTCCATTTCCCATTAACCACCAAAAAGCCAGACTTGAGGCATGGAGGAAGAGGAGGATTTTGTGTTGTTTTTTGCTGGTCCTGGGGCCTGGGCACTGTCCCTGAGCACTTTGGCTCAAGGCTAGCACTCTACCACTTGAGCCACAGTGCCACTTCCTGCTTTTTCTGCTTATGTGGTGCTGAGGAGTCAAACCCAGGTCCTCATGCATGCAAGGCAAGCACTCTACCCTGAGCCACCTTCCCAGTCCCTGTCCCTGAGCTTCTTTTTTGCTCAAGGCTAACACCCTACCACTTAAGCCATGGTGCCACTTCCAACTTTTTTTCTGATTAATTAGAGATGAGTCTCAAGGAGTTTCCTGCCTGGGCCTGGCTTTGAATCACCATCGTCATATCCCAGCCTCCTGAGTAGCCAGGCTTACAGGCGTGAGCCACTGGCATCCAGCTGAGGACGTGGTGTTTTAAATGTTAAATGCATTCACATATAGCTGTGTAACTTCTAGAGTCAAGATCTAGAACTTGCCTATTCTCTAGCAGTGTGCTTCTTGCTCCTTTCCTCTTCCAAGTCAGTACCTTCATAGAGGGCCCCTCTCTCTCTCTCTCTCTCTCTCTTTCTCTCTCTCTCTCTCTCAAGAGTGCCACACTCTCAGCCCTTATTGTTAGTTATTTCCCAAATACAATCTCATATTAGGCCTAGACCTCAACTTTCCTAATGCTTCTCAAATAGCTTGGCTGCCAGGTGCCGGTGACTCATGCCTATAATCCTAGCTACTCAGGAGGATGAGATCTGAGGATCATGGTTCAAAGGGGCAGGAAAGTCCATGAGACTCTTAGCTCTCAATTAGCCACCAAAAAAGCCAGACATGGGGCTGGGCCTCAATTAGTACAGTGTCAGCCTTGAGCACATGAAAGCTAAGGAACAGTGCCTAGGCCTTGAGCTCCACAGCCCCTTGCCTGCCCCCCCCCCTTTACTGGCACAAAAGAAAAAGAAAAAAAGAGTCCACCCTAATTATTACAGTACACATGTGAAAATTTGTCACCATTCTAGTGGGTGTGTTATTGTTTTGGTGTGATTTATTTGTTTTTGTTTGGCAGTACTGGGAATGAATCCAAGGTCATAGGAACGCTCTCCCAGAGCTCTAGTTCGGAATCACCTAAAGCTCATGGCTTAAACTTACATTTTTCTCGGGTGAGGTTGAACTACAAAACACTTGACAGACTGACTGACCAACAGACAGACTGAACAGAGCCAAGAGGTGTCAGTCCTCTTGTAGATAATAAAATGGATTCTGTCAGGCTGTGGTTTATTACACAGGAATAGGTAATTGAAACACAGTATTTTGTCCCTTCTGAAAATGAAGCTGTAACTTTGTCTTATTGCTTCTCCAATATCTGGGTTTGAACTACTTTTTTCTTTGTGCCAATATTAGATCTTGAATTCAAGGCTATCCTTTTTCACTCGCAGCTGGGACTCTACCACTTAAACCATGACACCACCTCTGGCTTTTTGTATGTGTTGGTCCTGGGGCTTGAACTCAGGGCCTGGGCACTGTCTCTGAGCTTTTGTGTTCAAGGCACGTGCTCTATCATTTGAGCCATAGCTCCACTTCTGGCTTTTTGGTGTTTAATTGGAAAGAAGAGTCTCACTGACTCTCCTGCCCTTTGAACCACGATCCTAAGATCTCAGCCTTCTAAGTAGCTAAGATGATAGCCGTGAGTTCCCAGGACAGGGCTAGTCAATTGCTTCTTCATTAATCCTTCTTTATTTATTTTATACTAGAAGTGAAACTTGAACTCAGCCTTGTGCTCTTGGTTGGCTTTTTCTTGCTCAAGCTTGCTGATCTACCACTTGAGCCAGAGCCCCACTTCTAGCTTTTTGCAAGTTGATTGGAAATAAGAATATCCTGGATTAAGCCAGGCGCTGGTGGCTCACGCCTGTAATCCTAGCTACTCAGGAGGCTGAGATCTGAGGATCACGGTTTAAAGCCAGCCCGGGCAGGAGAGACCGTGAGACTCCTATCTCCAATAAACCACCAGAAAACCTGAAGTGGCGCTGTAGCTCAAATGGTAGAGCACTCGCCTTGAGCTGAAGATCTGAGGGACAGCGCCCAGGCCCAGAGTTCAAGTCCCATGACCGACAAAAAAAAAAGAATATCCTGGATTACGGGCTGGGAAGGTAGCTCAGTGGTAGAGTGCTTGCCTTGCATGCCTGAGGCCCTGGGTTCGATTCCTCAGCACCACATAAGCAAAAAGAAAAAAAGCTGGAAGTGGCACTGTAGTTCAGGTGGTAGAGTGCTAGCCTTGAGCTGAAAAGCTGAGGGACAGTGCCCAGGCCCAGAGTTCAGGCCCCATGACCAGACCCAAAAACAAACAAACAAACAAAAAAGAATATCCTAGATTTGTTGTCCACAAAGCTGACTTCCAACCACAATTCTCAGATCTCAGACTCCTAAGTAGCTAGGATTACAGGCATGAGCCACTGGGGCCTGGTGACTTTAGTTTTTTGTTTGTTTGTTTGTTTTGGATTTTTTTTAGAGGGCCAGAACTGGAGTATGAACTCAGGGCTTGCATTTGCTAATCATTTGGGCCAAACTTCCAGCTCTTTAAATGTGTGTGTGTGTGTGTTTGTCTGTTTGTCTGTGTGTATGGTTGTGTATGTGTGTACTGTCCAGGACCTTGAACCCAGTGCCTGAATGCTATCCTTTAGCTTTTTTCTTTTAATTTTTGTCAGTTTTGTCAGTTGAATCTGGGGACTGGTGCTGTCCCTGAGCTCTTTGCTCAAGACAAGCACTCTACCACTTGAGCCACATAGCCACTTCCATTTTGCAGTAGTTAATTGGAGGTGAGTGTCATAGACTTTCCTGCCCCAGCTGGCTTTTAACCACGATCCTTAGATCTCAGCCTCCTAAATGGCTAGGATTACAGGCACCAGCCACCAGCGCCCAGTTGTTCCTTAGCTTCATCACTCAAAGTAGTGCTCTACCACTTGAGCCACAGCTCCACTTGTCTTTTGGTTGTTAATTGAAGGTAAGAGTCTCATGGGCCTCACTGACAAAAAAAAAAAAAAAGTCTCACATACTTTCCCACTAGGGCTAGCTTTGAACTTCAGTCCTCAGCTCTCAGCCTCCAGAGCAGCTAGGATTATAGGCATGAGCCACCATCACCTGGCTTAAATGGACTCTTAAGAGACTCAGCATACCATACCAGAAGATGGAGTGACTGTCCCAAGTCAAAGTCCTGAGCGTCTGCACTCTAACCCAGAGAAAGACAGCCTTGCCTGACTGCCCAGCCCCCCTCTGGAACCCTAAGGCTCTGCCCAACCAGCTGCAATCTGTGATCCCTTTGTTGGGATGGGATTGAATTCCCCAGAGCTCCTGTCCCAGCCCTGGCCAGCAGGTCCAGTAACCAGAGATGTGTGAGAAGAAAGGGCCAGTCCATCCATCGGGGCAGCCGCAATCCAAGCAGAGGTGAGCTCTTGGGTGAGTCATGCCAATGAAGGGGCCACCTTCCTAGTCCCTGGGGGGCTGCCATTCAGCCGGGCTTTGTATTACTAAGGACTCAGCCATGGGCCACCCACCTCTTCTTGGATCTTTGATCACAGGGTCCTCAGCAGAGCAAGGACACCCCTCCCCCTCTGTACTCCCATGTGGGTCTCTAGAGGTGTGAGATGCTCTTGGAGTTCTGAGTGGGGCCTTCAGGCTCCCTACTTTCCCCTTCCAGTCCCAGATCCTATCAGATTCCCAGAGATGAGCCCTAGCCAGGGAGGGTGGAGCTGCCCCTGAGACCATAGGGAGTCCCAGCTGCTCCAGGCAGTGACAGAGCTGTGACAGGAAGCAGACTCTCACCCAGCGCCGCCTCCAGCTGCCATGTCCCCGCACCTGTGGCTCCCACTGGCCATCCTGGGTAACCTCGGGGGGGCAATGTTGACATGCAAGGGACCTGGGCACTGGCATCCGGGGAGTTGAGAGGCAAGACCCCTGGGTTTGTTCTTCTTGGACAGATGCAGAATCAATTAGAGGGGGTGGAAGGGAGAGGGATGGTATACCCAAGGTGGGGAAAGGAGACTTGGGTGCTACCAGAAATGAGGGGCTGAAAAGCTCGGGGAGAATCCAGGAGGACACCCAAGTACAGGGGTCCAGCTACTTCCTGCCTCCCTCTGTCTTCCCAGCCATCCACCCCACACCAGGAGCCTTGGAGGACTCAGGTAAGACAGCTGGACTGGGCGGAGGTCAGCGCAGAGGAAGGAAAACTAGATGAGCATCAGGGTGGGTAGGCTGGGTAAGGGCAGGGGCGGAAGGAAGAATCGGAAGATGGGAGTCTGGCAGTTAAGGGCTGGCAATTACCTGTTGTCTTCCTCTCTCCACTCCCCGGCTCCTAGCTTTCACACCTACCCAAGAAGAACCTGAAGATCTGGGTAAGGAAAAGGTTTGGGCTTTTTTTTTTTTTGCCAGTCCTGGGGCTTGAACTCATGACCTGGGTACTTTTCCTGAGCTTCTTTTGCTCAAGGCTAGCACTCTACTACTTGAGCCACAGCATCACCTGTGGCTTTTTCTGTTTATGTGGTGCTGAGGAACCGAACCCAGGGCTTCATGCATGCTAGGGATGCACTCTACCACTAAGCCAAGTTTCCAGCCCTGGAATTTGTTTTTTTCCTCCTTTGTGCTGGTACTGAGGCTGAACTCAGGGACAAGATGCTTTCACTTGGCTTTTTCTGCTCAAGACTGGAACTCTACCACTTGAGCCACACCTCCACTACTGGCTTCTTGGTGGTTAATTGGAGATAAGGGTCTCACAGACATTCCTGCCTGGGCTGGCTTCGAACAGTGGAACCTCAAATCTCAGCCTCCTGAATAGCTAGGATTACAGGCGTGAGTCCCTGGTGTCCAACTGCTGTCATTCTGGGATCTTGAGGTTGAAGCTCAACTGTGCCTAGATTCTGTGTTCTTTGTCTAGAAGGACAAACTGAAGCCGTGTGAAGAATAGATTTTGACCTATTCGTTACTTGAGCGTTTATGTAGGTTTGGGGTTTTTGTTTGCTTGTTTGTTTATTAGTCCTGGGCTTGAACTCAGGGCCTGGGCACTGTCCCTGAGCTACTTTTGTTCAAGGCTCGCGCTCTACCACTTGAACCACAGCACCACTTCGGGCTTTTTCTGCTGATGTGGTGCTGAGCACTGAGCTACCTTCCCAGGCTTCCCAGGTTTTGACCTCCAGGGTTCGCTGTTGCAGACTGCGGCCGCCCAACGCCCTCAGCCCGCATCGTGGGGGGCTCCGACTCGCAGCCCGGGGCCTGGCCCTGGCAGGTGAGCCTGCATCACGGCGGGGGCCACGTCTGCGGGGGCTCCCTCATCGCCCCCTCTTGGATCCTTTCTGCAGCTCATTGTTTCGTGACGTGAGTAGCGTTGTCCGACTCGCCGCTCTCACTCAAAGGCCAACCCCACCCCGCAGCTTGACCCCCTCCCTTTGCTCCCCTTCCTAAGGTTAAATTGCGCGCGCGCGCACACACACACACACACACACACACACACTGGGGTGTCTCATTGTTCTGGGTAAGTTGAGGCCACCAGCAGCCTCCTCTTACTCCTCCACCAAAAATCCCGAGTCTGGATTGTCTTTCCAATGTCCCCATCACCCCCTCCTCCATCTGGGACCGGCCCCCCACCTTCCAGATTCTGTCTCTGCCTCCACCTTTGGTTCCCCCCATCCTCCACCCCCACCTCCCAGCCTTGGTTTAATTGCCTGCACTGAAGTCAGGCCAGGGCACTGTCCCTGAGCGTTTTCATTCAAGGCTGGCACTCTACCGCCTGAGCCACAGCTCCACTGCCGGCTTTTTGCTGGTGAATTGGAGCTAATCCACACCATTTTTTTTTTTTGCCCCGGCTGGCTTCGAACCACCATCCTCGGATCCACCCTTGCAACCCCAATTCTGCATCCGGCTCCGCCCCTCCGGGCGGGGCTCTGACCCCTCCCCGCCCGTCCCGGCGCAGGAACGGGAGCCTGGAGCCCGCGGCCGAGTGGACGGCCGTGCTGGGCGTGCACTCCCAGGACGGGCCCCTGGAAGGCGCGCACGTCCGCGCCGTGGCCGCCATCCTCGTGCCGCCCAACTACAGCAAAGTGGAACTGGGCGACGACCTGGCCCTGCTGCGCCTGGCCTCGCCCGCCAGGCTGGGCCCCGTCGTGCGGCCCGTCTGCCTGCCCCGTGCCTCGCACCGCTTCGCCCACGGCACCGCGTGCTGGGCTACTGGCTGGGGGGACGTCCAGGAGGCGGGTGAGTGGGGCGGGTCCCCGCGAGAGTCCTTGCAGCGTGTCCTATAGGCTGGACAGCGTTTTGTGGGCGGGGTCTAGCGTGTGGGCGGGGCCCCGGGGGCGGGGCGAGGTCTGGTTGTGGTGGACCCGGCTGCTCGTTGTGGGCGTGTCTACCTGGTTGTGGGCGGTGGCCTGTTCGTGGTGGGCGGAGCCACGGCGGGTTGCGGCTGGACCGCTGGAAATTTCCGCAGCTACCTCCTTCCTTCCTCCTCCACTTCCTCCTCCTCCCCACCTCCAGAGTTCTGAAATCGACACTACCGCCGCAGCCCCAGGCCCTCCCGCCCGCCTCGCCATTTCTCCCAGTTGTTCTCTTTGGGGATTTAGGTCTGGCTCGGGTACCCATCTTGTTTCAGGCAAAATGTTTTCTCCCACTCCAATTTCTCCTCCGTTAGTACAGGAAAACAATACTGTACACATCGTGAGGTTGTTGGGTTGTTAGATGAGAAAGACCGTGTGGAGCTGATGACAACAGCGCCCAGCGGAGCCATAATTAATACGGTTTAGATGTTCTTACCTTCAGTAATCCATGCTAAAAGCATCAGAAGATAAGCAAATGTTCCTGCCCTCCTCCCTTCCTCCCTCCCTCTCTCTTCCTGCCATTCTGTCTCCCCTCCTGCTCCTCCCGGCTTACCTACAGTCATTGTTTCTGTGTTTCTTTCTTTCTAGGAAGTGTTAGGGCTTTGCTACACCAGTCAGTGAGTGTTCAAAACAAATCCGCTTTCCTAGAGTTTACGCTTTACTAGATGGGTAGAAAACAAATTCAGGCTGGGCACTGAATTTGTAGCTGGGATTACAGTCGTAATCTTAGCTAATCAGGAGGCTGAAATCTGAGGATCAAAGCCCAGGCAGGACCAATTAGCTACCAGAACTCCAGAAGTGGAGCTGTGGTTTAAAGTGTTGGAGAGCTAGCTTTTGAGCTGAAGAAGCTCAGAGACAGTGCCCAGGCCCTGAATTCAAGCCCCATGACTGACAAAAAAAAAAAAGAAACAACAAATCCAATAAATAAGCAGCACTGTATTCGAAGGTGAAGCAGAGAGAGAGAGAGAGAGAGAGAGAGCCTACTTTTTTTTGTGCGCACCGGTACTGGGACTTGAATTCAGAGCTGAGCACTGTCCCTTAGCTTTTTCCCTCCATGCTGGTGCTCTACTACTTGAACCACACCTTCACATCCAGCTTTTCCAGCTAACTGGAGATTACAATCTCACATACTTTCCTGATTGGGCTGGCTTCAAACCCTGATCTTCAGATCTTAGCTTCTTGACTAGTATTATAGGTGTGAGCCACTAGTATCCAACTTATATGGTACAGTACACTATGACAGGACTCTGAGTTTAATGATCTTAGTTCCTACGTATCTTTTGGTGTTTGGTTGGGGATCTTTTGCCCAGTACCACCTGTACCACAGCTGAGGCTGTGCCGGAATTGACTTGAAGACCTTAGAAAAAAACAAATAGGACAAAGAGGAAATGTGATGGATGGGGTGGGCCTAAGTGCCATGGGGCATCTAGAAGGAGACATGCATGGGGCAGCTGGAAGGGATGAAGCTGAGAATTTCCAAAGGGAAATGGAATGTTACTGCTTGAGTATCTGCTCTCTGGTTCTGTCCCCAGACCCTCTGCCCCTCCCCTGGGTGCTGCAGGAAGTGGAGCTAAGACTGCTGGGAGAAGCCGCCTGTCAGTGCCTCTTCAGCAGGAGAGGCCCCTTCAACCTCACATTACAACTACTGCCGGGGATGCTTTGTGCTGGCTACCCAGAGGGCCGGAGGGACACCTGCCAGGTAAGGCAAGACCCTGCACCTACCTACTTGGAAGACCAGCTCCCTAAATCCCTAACCTATAGGAACCAGCTAAGGAATAGACATCTGCAAAAAAGGCAAGATTGCTGGGTGCCAGTGGCTCATGCCTGTAATCCCAGCTGAGATCTGAGGATCGTGGTTCAAAGCCAGCCCAGGCAGGAAAGTCCATGAGAGTCTTATCTCCAGTGAACTACCAGAAAACTGGAAGTGGCACTGTGGCTCAAGTGGTGGAGTGCTTGCCTTGAGCTGAAGAGCTGAGGGACAGTGCCCAGGCCCAGAGTTCAAGCCCCCACAACCAACAAAAGGAAAAAAAAAAAAAGGCAAGATTGCCAATGGAATCAGAGTTGGGAGCATGGCTTAGTGGGAGATTGCATGGCTAACATACGTGAGACCCTAGGGTGAATTCCAGCCTGGAAGGCTACTGACTCACGCCTGTCATCCTAGCTACTCAGGAGGCTGAAATCTGAGGATCAGGGTTCAAAGCCAGCCTGGGCAGCAAAGTCCATGAGACTCTTATCTCCAATTAACCACCCAAAAACCAGAAGTGGCAAAAAATGGTAGATTTCCAGACTTGAGCCAAAAAGTTAATGGGCAGAGGCTGGGAATGCGGATTTAGCAGTAGAGTGCTTACATAGCTTTTATTTTTCTATTTACATGGTACTGAGGAATCAAACCCAGGGCTTCATGCATGCATAGACAAGCATTCTACCACTAAGCCACATTCCCAGCCAGAACAGGTAGCTTTGAGCTTTCTTTATGACCCTCTCATGTTTCCCTAGTTCCTGAGCTGGGTTATAGTGATGACTTAGGGTCAATGTCTGACCTCACCACCGGATGACCCTAACACTATGGTTTCAGCTCTCACTGAAACACTGTTCCCAGCACATTGTTTCTGCTTGCTGTAGATCTTCTTCCTTGCTTGCTTTCCAACCATCCCCTCTTCCTGCTTTTAATCCATCTACCCAAGTAGCTAGGACTGCAGGTGCACACAACTATGCCTGCCTTTGCTGCTTTTCCGATTGCCTGTTTTTGACAGTCTTTCCCTCCTTGGGTGTCTCCCATGTACTTTTTAAAGAACTGAGTGGGCCTAGGGGTGGAGCTCAGTGGCAGAGAGAAAATGCTTAGCATTTGGGAGGCCCTGGGTTCAGCCTCAGCTTAAAACTAAAACAAATAAGCCAAATGCCAATGGCTCATGCCTTTAATCCTGGTTACTGAGGAGACTGAGAGCTGGAGGATCAGGGTTTGAAGCCAACCAAAAAAGTCCATGAGACGCATCTTCAACTAATCAGCCAAAAGCTGGACATAGAGGTGTGGTTCAAGTGGTAGAGTGCCAGCTGAGCAAGGCAGATGAGCAAGCAAGCCATGCAAGTGTAAGGTCCTCAGTTCAAACACCAGTAATACATATGTATGTGTATGATACACAGAAAAAAAGAGTTGGAGCTATTTAGAAACCTTAGATATACCAGAACAATTTCTCACATAAAGAATCATTTGAAGGCTGGGAAGGTGGCTCAGTGGTAGAGCGTTTGCCTTGCATGCCTGAATCCCTGGGTTCGATTCCTTAGCACCACATAAGCAAAAAGAAAAAAGCCAAAGTGGTGCTGTGGCTCAAGTGGTAGAGTGCTCGCCTTGAGCTGAAGAGCTGAGGGACCGCGCCTAGGCCCAGAGTTCAGGCCCCACGACCACACCCCCCCAAAAAAAAGAATAATTTGAGGGGTTGGGAAGGTGGCTCAGTGGTAGAGTGCTTGCCTTGCATGCATGAGGTTCTGGGTTTGATTCCTCAGCACCACATAAGCAGAAAAAAAAAGCCGGAAGTGGCGCTGTGGCTCAAGTGGTAGAGCGCTAGCCT